GTTTCATTGTACCTTTTCTGTTTAAACAAAGCTTTTCAGATCTGAAGTGAAGTGAATGTTGCATTCATGTAAATGTTCTATTGCTGTCTAGAGAGAACAGTAAAAAAGAAGAAAACCTTGCAACCAGGAAAAATAAAAATTTCCCAGTGGTAATAATGGATACTTTAACAGCCTGTATAGACATAATGGAACCTGATAGGGATTGATTATTGTATCCATTGTTCCCAGTGGTAACAATTGGTATTTTAACAGCCTGTATGGGCATAATGATCCTGATAGGAAATGAACAGAAACTCAAAGAAAAAAGCAAAGCAGCACACTGTAGTCCAACAGACAGTCAACTTTGAATCCATAAGGTTGAGTATTTCCAGAATTCCGAGACTCCCCACCTAGAAGCCGCCCACACTAACGCATTTCACTTGTTAGGGCTTAATCATAGAGACTAATGGTAAAACGCGTTACGGCAGGCGTCTTCTAGGCCAGGAGTCTTGGTGTGTTGGAGTACTCAGCCTTATGGATTAAAAATTGGCAGTCAGTTGGACTAAGGTGTACAGCTTTTTTCTTTGAGTTGCTATGTTGGAGCATAAACGACTCATAGCCTGCACCCACACACGCCCAGGTGTGGTAGGCTCAGTGTCAGATGCAGCGGTGATAGCTCTCTGCATCTCTATACTGGGTAGGAAATTATTACTGTTTAAAGACTTTATTACTTAAACTCACAGTTCTGTTTTACAATATCAAATTTCATAGTGATCACCATAAACTTAACGTTTTCTGACTGTTGTGGATCCCTTAGCGTATTACCACCCGTAGCTCCCTTATCAGCAGCTCCTGGGTTTTCTTAGTAGACAGAGATCTGTAGTAACTGGTTTTAAATGCTGCCCCACCTGCTGGTGAAATATGGTATTGCAGTGTGACCAAAAAAACATTGGTCCTGTCAAGAACATCAAACAGCAGCAAGATGAGTTTATTGTGTTTTAGGGATACTACTACCTAATTGGGCTGCAATTAAAGGGGAATTCCAGTTTTTAATTTCTTATAAATGCATTTAAGGTATGGATGTCATCTAACGGTGCTATTTCTGCTCGTCATATTTTGCCTATTTCACACCATGTATACTACTAAAGTGCTGATGCACACTAGAAAAACATTGGGGCCTATTCACTAAGCTACCGTAGGCAGCCGAGTGACTAACCCACCCGAAGTGAGCAGAACGCTGTACGGCTATTCACTTCAGGCTGGTACGGCTGATTCCAGCCGTGTATCGGCTGAAATCAGCCGTACATCAGCTTGCTTTGTGCGGCTTCGGGTCGGCTGAACATGCTCAGCATGTTCGGCCGACCCGAAGTGCAGAAGGAGTTCGACTCAGCCGATCCAACATCTGGATCGGCTAAGCCGAACCTCCGGCAGGCTACTCGCTGCTGTTTGGCCTATTCTCACAGATGCCAAACAGCAGTGAGTGAATAGCCGAATGCCGCCAAGCGGCATTCTGCTCGGCTGTTCTGCTCGGTACCTCTGTGGTACCGAGCAGAATAGAAAAACAGTTAAAAATTTAGTAAAAAATAGAATAGAAAACGATTGGGCGGAGCTAGAGGTGACAGCTACCTCCGCCCAACTGTTTTCTACTGGCCGGGCGGTTCTGCTGCCGTCAGAATAAAAAAAAAATCACCATAGGAATGCATAGCTAGATTCCTATTGGCTATTTCACTTTGCAATAGCCAATAGCTGTAACAGTCGACGGTTATGTCTAATGCGGATCTCAGCTGCGGAGTGTGTGTGAAGTGTAATGTTTGGGCTCAGTTTTGCGGAACCCCAATGCACTCAGTACCAAGGGGAACCGTTACACATCATATATCCCTATTCCTATGTGGTGGAGATGTATTACCCTGATGCTATAGGAGGCAGCAGGATCTGGAGCTATCAGTCTCTGTAGTTTGGGTTGGAGGAAGTAGCAGTAAAGAGTTGGGAGTAGATCTGCATATGTAACCGGTGAGTAGGATCTTCCTACAGCTAGATTGGATTTGGGGTAGGAGTATAAGCAATACAATTGGTTACTTGATACGTAATTTGTTTGTCTGTAGTTGCAATGGTTTGAGAAATGGCTACTAATAGGATGAAGTGAACCCGCATGTGAATTTGGGAGATTGGAACAGGATATCTCTCTAGACACAGTTCTATGAATCAGCAATGCAGTTTATGGAAGTGAGAGCAACCAGCAGTTGTGAAACACCTCTCACAATACATCAATCCAGCAATACGGTTCTAAGTAATTGGTGCAACAGTCATATTATAACCAACTTGTTTCCTTGCACAGTTCATCAACTCAATTTTAGTAGTGTATGAAAGGAGACAGGAGGTTTGAATCTGTGTAGCTCCCTCCTGAATCCCACTACAGCACAACCAGCTTAGTGAGTAGTAGTAACAGCTGGGAATTATCCCTTTACTTGCGTTTGATTGAACTCTCTGTAGACAGCAGGGAACAACTGTGGATGGTATCACTATTCAAGATGAGTTGTTGGTACGGCTTCAGGATGGACCTAGGACAGGTTCGTTTGGTAATGGTGGGAGGCAGCGATGGAACAAGGCTATTACTTCGTGCAGTAATACAGTCTCTGTTTCAGTACAGAGAGTCACTCGCTCGACGATCCAGAACGATAGTACGCCGAGTGAGTGGCTCAGCTGTGCTTTTAAGGAGTAGCTACGGCCAGGGGGAGGAGTCGACCGTGATGTCACGAACGGACCGAACCCTCTGACACGGAGCTCTGAACCGTGTGGGTCTATGACAATAGCAAACTAGCTATTCAACCCGCGACCCGGGCTGCTGTCAATCACTAGAGGGGACCTGATGGAGAACTTCAGGTCCCCTTTTTTTATTCTGACGGCAGCCAACAGCTCCGATGTCAGAAGAAAAAAAAACAGAGCAGGGAAAGGTTTACTCTGCTCGCTCGAGCAGAGAAAATCTTTCACGGACACAGTGTTTCTCTCCCCGGCGGCCGGGAGAGCTATCTAACAGCGGTAGACTCCCGGAGCGCCAGGGAGAGTTGGGCTGTCTGGAGATCAGTGTCCCTGGTTACTTGGTAACCAGGGACGCTGATCTGTCTGTGCAAGTGGCCGGATGACGGCTGGCTGATGACGGCTGGCTCTGTCCAGCAGTCACTAGCAGGCTGTTGGCCGTTCGGCCAGCTTCGGCTTTCACCTCGGCTCAGTCAAGCAGAAGCATATGCCTTTGGCTTGAATGAGCCGCTCGGCTGACTATAGTGAATAGCTAGTACAGCAGCCCTTCGGTTCTACTGAAACGAAGGGGTCCTGGGGCCAAAGCTAGCCGAAGGATCAGCCGAAGCTACTGCTAGATCCTTCGGCAGCTTAGTGAATAGACCCCCATTGTGTCTATCTGAGTGTGTGGGCTGGGAAGGATACATGTCCTGGCAAAATTAACTTGAAAGTAGATTGGTCATCCAGTTTTGTCTTTTTAAGACATAATTCAAAGACTGTCTTTCTAGACACTTGAATTCGTTTTCAACAATGAATGATTTGTATTTTAAGATGGAGAATATTAAGATTGCACAATGAGATGGCCAATGGCTGACCCTAACTTCATGCTATTCGTACACTTCTGTCAGTTTAGGCCTGCAACACTGTGATCATTTAATTAGGATAGCTTAAATCCAATTATAATTAAAATGTCTGAATAAAACAGTGATGTTTATAGATTTAGAAAGTCCTTTTTTGATGCTCAGTCCTTTTTTATTGGAAGATCACCAACAGCCATCATCATGTCATTATATAAAAAGTGCTCAAAGGTTAAAGTGGCACTAAACTCAGGAGTTACATTTTAAACCCTAAGTACCCTAATTATTAATAGAAATGTAGCCTATTTGTGTATTACTCAGCTATAGATCCTCAAATCATCTCTGAATTGGTGCGGACACTGTCCTTCCTTCTGGAGGGAGGCTACTTTTGTTCCCCATGGTCCCTGTGTGTTGTAAAGTAGTCACCACTCCAAGCTCGCTGCTGTGATGGACTACAGTCTCACATTAAGTTTACTCATTTCTGTTGAAGTTATATTCATCACAGGAATGAGCTTGGAGCGGTGACTACTTTACAACATGCACAGGGAACACGGGGAACAAAAGTAGCCTCCCTCCAGAAGGAAGGACAGTGTCAGTATGAATTCTGAGATGATTTGAGGATCTACAGCTGAGTGATACACAAATAAGATACATTTATGTTAATAGTACAGGTATTTTATTGCATTTTTAAGATTTTATTCCTAAGTTTAGTGTCACTTTAAACCAATCTCTTTTACATCAGAGACATCATATTCTTCTATCATCAGATGTTTTGTTTCGCATTGCCTAGTAAAAAGCGGGGGGCGGAGCCGGAGGGAAATTCAAAAGTGCAAACATGACGTTTACACAGAATACACATAATACAATGTAATCTGCTATAATTACATTTATATATCAAACTATTTCACTTCAATTTTGTCCCTAGAGCTTTGTCCAGTGCCCTGCCTGCACTTTTACTGTTCTTTCTGCCTGGAAACTTGAGAACGTCCATGGCATCCAAAAAGCGTCCCTTTAAGTCAAAAGCGGTTTTAGACCAGGTAGAAAACAGCGATAGTCAATTAGAATCACTTGCAGAATTGAGCGATAGCGGAAATTCGTCATCAGACACTGAAATTCGTCATCAGACACATTTTCACCTTATTTACTAAACTCACTGAACATTCACTTTGTAATATGTGTATTCCTTTAGTAAATGAACCACAATGTCTCCATCAGTTTTTAGGAGGTACAAGAAGCTAGAAAGTGATCCATCTTACCAGTGTCCACTTAAAATAAAATATTGTTTTGCTTGGACTAAGCTTTTAAAATAACAGCTTGGTTGGTAGTAAAATAATGCGGCAACATTAAAACAAAACCTGTTCATATTGATATTCTTTGGCCTCCTTATTTTAATATAAAAATGTTAATATTATGCTCTATTTTTCTACCTAGAAATATAAGTTTGATCGATTTGTGGAAAATGGGAAGGAGAAAACCACCTTCTACAAAAGGGACAAAAAGCTAAAAACTTTCCTGATGCCGTTTGGTTCCGGAACCTCCAAATGTCCTGGACGTTTCTTTGCTGTAAATGAAATCAAGCAGTTCCTTGCCGTTCTCCTTGTGTACCTGGATACAGAGATAGCTGAAGAAAAGTTTGTTGGTTTAGATAACAGCCGTGTGGGACTTGGAATCCTCCTGCCTGATTCTGATATTGATTTTCGGTTCAGATATCGGAAATGTGACACTTCATAATGCAATAACTTTTTTTTATTGCTCTATTTAATTTAATTTATTGAAGCTTACTGGTCCTTAGATATGGTGGCTTCATTTGTTTTCTCTGTTCATTTCCGCAAGCACCAAAAATAAATTAATGCAGCCAGAAATCCAGTCAGGTGTAACTTCCTGTACACTGAACTGATATTTCATACAAATTTATCAACCTTCCCGGTTCTTTTCTGTGACCTATCGAACACTTTGCCCCTATGTTATGGAGATGAGGAAAGGGGGAGGTGTTTGTAGCCCGAATTAGGAGTGCAGCCTACTATCACAATGCTGCTCCTCTACAGATACAGTACTGTGAGTGAGTGTTGTCACCCTAGGAAGTGTGTAATGAGCAGGATCACTTTGTGAAAATAAAGGGGGGAAAAGGCAGAAAAGGGAAAACAAATGCAGCCACCACAAATGAGGGCTGGTAATCTGCAATATATAACATTTCTGGTTTTGGGTTTAGTTACACTTTAACTACATTAGCCTCAGTGGTGTATGAACATGTCCTGAAAATACTTTTCTTTGTGTTTTATGTTAGAACAGAATCTACTACAACAATAGTAATACATGTGGTTAATGTGGCTGAGGAGGTCTTAGCATGTGGCTTCTGGTGGTGGTTTTATTATTGCGTTACTACTTGATCAGGAAACTCCAATCAGTAATTTCTAAAATGCCTTTTTATCAGGCCAACCACAGAGCAGCAGAATCATGTGTTTATTGATTACACCCCATTCACACTGAGCGGTTTATTGTGCGATATCGCTCTATGTAGCCTGTCCAATGCATTTAATTGGAGCTGTTCACATCTCACAGCTCAATGTCGCCTGTAGCTCGTCGCTCATACATGACCCTTTTTTGCGCGGATGTCGCGCTATTCGGCTCCAATAGACTCTATGGTGTCCCGCAAAATCACGCAACGGAAGGGTCACTTTTGCACTGCAAAATGGAAGGAAAGAATGATGTCACATCAAGATCGCTGTTGATTGGTTGCAGCCCAATGTAGCAGCGACGAAGTCCCGCCCAAAAACACGCTATGTAGCGCTATAAAATGTGCATTGTCGCTCAATATCGCGCAATGCAGCTCAAGCCGTTCAGCACGAAATCCCGTGGAAAAACGTGCAATACCCATGTCGCTCAGTGTGAATGGGGCCTTATTGTTTGCTTCTACTAATTAGCAGAATTGCTGTTGCAGTGCTACTGATCACAAGGGGCAGTTTCTCAGCCAATTATGATGCAATGATATCCAAATGTGTAGCTGAGTTACAGTATATAGGAAATGTATAATGACATTGTTGAGTATTCAATACACACACACAATGCAGTAAAAAAAAACCTGTCTATTTTGAGATTTGTAATTGCTTGCTAGCAAGAAATTACACCACTTGTTACAAGGGACACCCCTAGCAGGTGACAAGGGCTACCCCAAGATGCAGAGTCTAAGTGACAACATGGTCTTTACTAGAGCACCCAACAAAGAGTGATGGACCGGTGACCCTAGTGGCCCTTGGGCTGCATTGCAGCTAGCTGTCACCAGGTCGCCTCCCCCAGGTTTGCCCCACCAAGGGTTCGCAGGAGCACGGTAGCTACTTGGAAGACATGTCAATGTCCAGGCATTGGTCAGGGCAGGCAGCAAACAAGAGATTTGTTGGTGTCATTAAGCGGACAGAGACAGGCAATAGAGAGGTCAGGCAATGTCCTGGCACAGGTTGAGGCAGACAGCAGGCAAGAGAGTAGACAATGCCCAGGCAGAGGTTGAGGCAGGCAGCAGAAAAGAGAAATACAGGAATGGGCAGAATCTGCAACAGGTGTTGGAGATGAGAGCAGAGTATGGCAGTCCGGTTCCGCAAAGGGTAATCAGAACAATCGCAATTCTCACACACAGAGTAGTTGGAAAGAAGACACAGCACCAGCCACCAGAAAGAAAGGTGTTTAAATACCCTCCAAGCCAGGGACACAACCCAGTGCCACTAATGCACATGCCTAAGCACATGACCAGCCATGACCAAAAAGCCATGAGCCACGCACATGCTGTAAATGGATAGGACAACCCATGCCCGTAGCTGTATAGACACGGATCCAAGAGGTACTGTAACACCAGTTTTTATAATTTGCTCTTTTCTTCTACATACTAAAAACATTATAAATATTGCAAACAAGGCAATTATCAAAATGGCTTCATCTTATCCTAGTCACAACCAAGAAAATCTCAAGTGTAAGAGATTAACCACATTAGACTAATCTCCTGAAAACTTCCAGCAGTAGCATAAAGTAAAAATCACACAGGTAGCCCTGGTCTAAACTGTACTGTAGTGTGACAGGATAGTAATTTGAGAGTTTATGTAATTTAGAGTTACCAACTGAATGACAACATTCACTGAAGCTCAGACATGTCATAATACCTTTTTTGCTATATACCTGTACGGTAATGGTGGCTTCCACTTGCATAATGAAATAAATCCCATTGCTGTCTTGTAATTACTTCCTCTTGCTCAGTAAGCAGTGTTGTCGTTTTAAAGCCACTGGAAGTCTGTGCATATGCGTTGCTGATATGCAATACTTTACTGCAGTAGTGTCAGACTGTGGACTGTCCTCTCACCTGTTGGCAGGAAGAAAACAGAATGAAGACTTAAAGTACAACTGAAGCCTAAACTTTGTTTTTTTAGTTTTGAATAGAGTGGAATTAGAATACCTGCCAGGTTTTTAAAAAACACTTGTTTGCGCCCTCATTTTCAGGCACAGGGGTGATTGTGCAAACACCAGTAGTGTTTGATCACATTGTAGGGATTGTTGGTACGATTCAACAACACCAAAGAACCAAATAATTTAGCAGAGAGAGAGATAGCAGTTAAAAAAATGGCCATTACAAATTAAAAAGGTATTAAAATAGCTACTGCATAAATTAGAGTCAGAGGAATACATTTTATTGTCTACTACTAAAAATGGAGTTAACTTATCAAAGGTGTTTTGCACTGTAGAGACTTTCTATATATGCATATACTGTACATGTGATACATTAAATGTGTGTTTGTTTTTTTGAGACCACAGGTACCTGCACAGTGTATGCTGAAAAGTCCTAAAGTAGGGTTTTATCATTTGAATCTGCTAAGCAAATGCATTTTTCCTTGAATATTAATGAATGAAAAAATGAGAAAGATTATATTGTTGTGGGATGTTGTTTTTTTTTTTTTTAGGCTTATATGTGTAGAACAGTATAGTGAAGCATGGTGCACCATACTGTAACACTCAGTCACGCCAGCAATGAAAAAGTAGAGATCACATCCTTCAGTTCATGTAGGGTGGCTTTAAATCGCAAATAGGCTTACAGTTTAAATAAGTTGAATACATTCCAGGTGAATACAACAAAAAAAACATACAAAGCAGCTTCAGGTTGAGTAGAAAAGCATGTCCCCTGCTACCATGCTACAGAGAAGGACCCAGGTGTGCTGGTGACATTTATCATATATTTGAAGATGCACGGCGCCATCCGTGGTTACTACAGCACCCAACTTTATACATAGGGGATTCGGTAAGGAGTGCAGCAGTTCCTCTCGAAGATCGTGTTTGTTTGTGGAGACACACACAACTTACTAGCACACACAAGAATGGCTCCATAGGACACGGGGAGCAAGGGAAAGAAGCCCCCCTAAAACAGGATATCAGGGGCAGCACTCAAGGGACAAACTGATTTTGCAGGAAACGAAAACTTTTAACTATCAAGAATCAGCATCTATTGTAAGAGATTTAATGAGCATTTGAAATAGCTTAACATTTGTTTGACTTTAATATCACTTTAAGCACCAGAAAAATATGACCCTTTAACATAGTTTTTTAAAGTTGTAATTTTGTATAATTTGCCTTTAAAATAATATGTTGTTGTATGACATCTGTATCGGTGCACTTACACTTCAACGTGTATTTCCACTTTTGCAGTCAAATCAGAAAACATCCCTCTATGTTTGTTGTGTTTCTATTCACACAGCATAACGAAAAATCATTTTTTAAAACATATTTCTTACCTTCTGCAGAAGGCAAAATGTTTAAATCCAGGTGAAAGTAACTTAAACTGCAAAAATCATTTTTTTAATATTTTTGTAGCTTATACTATGTACTTGGGAACACGTAACAAATATAAAATAGGTGTTTTCTCAATTTGGCTGCAAAAGTGGAAATACACTTTAATTATTGTCCCCTTATACCCTAATGGATTGTAAATCCTTGTGAACAAGACCCAACATTTATGTATCCAATTATGTAGTGGTACCACCATGTTATACAGTGCTGCAGAATAAAGCATTTCAAGTGCCCATAACCGGATGGTGAATAGATAAATGGCCTCTATTTTTGGATATATTTTTTTTCCTTCCAAGATGATTTCCATTTTTTGTCTTTTTCGGGAGGGGGGCCTGGGGGTGCACAATATTTTCTTAATATATGTATAATTATACATTTATAGAATTTTACTGTCTGTTTTTTCTGCTGTAATTTGTTATGTGAAATCCAATAAATTATAAACATTTACTGCTTGTTTTTTTTGTGTCTTCCTTTAAAGAGCAATTCTGGGCAACAAGTGAAAACAATGGGTTAACTATCAGTTATATTGAGTAGATAATGCAACTATGCTAAAGGGAAAAAATTTATTGAGTTCTCTGTAATCCTTTGCAAGATGATTGCACAGCGCTTCTTATTTGAGGGCTGACTGTATCTGCTTCCTTAAAGAGATTCTTGTCACCAATATAAAATATGACAGCTAAAAACACAGAAAAATCCAGTATTTTAGGTGCTCGCTTTCAGTGTTTTCCCTTTCCAGAAAAAGATGTGCCTCTGCACAGCTCCTGCTATCCTTGCACGTCTTAGCCCCTCCTCTTTTGAGAGCGTCTAATTACTGTCTGTGTTGGCCCACCTCCTTCAACCTCCCCTCACCTACAAAACCTTTTATGATGCAGCCGGGGGAACAGCAAAGGGTAATACTATAGTATAAGGAAAATA